TAAATAAAAATATATGGCTCAGGGGCACCTGGGTGGCTCATTGGTTAAGCATCTGACTCTTGATTTCGGCTCAGGTCGCCATCTCAGGGTGGTGAGATCAAACCCTGCATCCAGCTCCTGAACTCAGCAGGAAGTCTGCTTGAGATTCTCTCTTTTCCTCTGCCCCTCCTGCTGCTGGCACACTCTCTAAATAAATAAATAAAATCTTAAATAGATATATATGTATATAAATACAGTTCAGCAGCATTTAGTATATTCACAGTGTTGTACAACCACCATCTCCGTCAATTTCCAAAACATTTTCATCCCCCCAAAAGGACACCCCATACTCATTTAGGTAGTCCCTCATTTCCTCCTTTCCCCCAGCCACTGGCAACAGCCTGTCTGCTTTTTGTCTCTGTGGATATCCCTATTCTGGATATTTCATAGAAAGGGAATCATATATGATCTTTTTATTTGGAACTGTGTCCAGCCACACAGTTTGCTGAGCTCTATTACGGACCAGGCACTAATCAAGTACTAGAGATAAGAGGGTGCTGAAGACAGATGAGATCTCTGCCTTCACGGGGCTTACGAGACAGCCATTCCTCAAATAAATACAGTTAACTATCTCACAAAAAATGTGCAAATGCTGCAGAGTTGAATATCAGAATCTACGGGGCTGGTACAATGAGGGGGACTGCTCTACTTTGGGTGTTGAAGGAAAGCTTCTCAAAAGTGGCAGTTACACTGAGCTCTAAGGAATAACTGGGAATAAGCCAAGGGGAAGGAGGGACAAACCTAGGCCAGATTGGACGAGCAAGCATCGGAAAGTCTAAACAGAGGAGTCATGAAACTCGATGTGTTGGTTTTTGTGGGATTTTTGATTGACTCAAGTCCGTGGCGTAATTCAGGTTCTCTCTTTGCATTGTATAGCTCATTGAGTTTTGACAAATGAATAACGACACAAGTTCAGCATTACAGTATCATACAGAACAGTTTTACTGCCCTAAGACTACCCTGTGCTTGATTTATTCATCCCTCTCCTCCCCCTCCCAACTGATCTCTTCGCTGTCCCCATAGTCTCGCCTTTTCCAGAATGTCGTATAATTAGAATCAGATAGTACGTAACCTCTTCAGACTTGTTTCTTTCTCTTAGTAATATGCACTTAAGGTTCTCCCATGTTTTTTCATGGTTTGGTATCTTATTCTTTTGTGGGGGCGTTATATGTTATATACATAACAAAAAGTTTGCCATTTTAACCTTTTCTAAGTGTACAATTCAGGGGAATTAAGTATATTCACACTGTTGTGCAACCATCACCACCATCTATGTCTTTTTTTTTTAAGATTTTATTTATTTATTTGAGAGAGTGTGTGCGTGTGAGCAAGAGAGAGAGCAGGGGCAGAGGGGAGGGGCAGAGGCAGAGGGAGAAACAGACTCCCCACTGGGCTGGGCTCGATCCCAGAACCCTGAGATCATGACCTGAGCCAAAGGCAGACGCTTAACTGACCGAGCCACCCAGGTGCCCCCACCACCATCTATTTCCAGAACTTAACTCACTCTTCTTTTTTTTAAGTAGGTTCCAACGTGGAGTTCGAAACTCAGGACCTAAGTCATGACATCAAGACCTGAGCTGAGATCAAGAGTCAGACACTTAACTGACAGAGCCACCCAAGTGCCCCATAACTCACTCCTTTTTATTGCTAAGTAATATTTCATCATATGGCTGTGCCACAGTTTGTTTATCCATTCACTTATCGAGAGATGATTTGTTTTTATTTTTTTTTTTAAGAATTTATTTATTTATATGCCAGAGAGAGAGAAAGAGCACACGAGCAGGGGGAGTGGCAGGCAGAGGAAAATGCAGGCTCCCTGCTGAGCAAGGAGCCCGATGCGGGACTCGATCCCAGGACCCTGGGATCACAACCCCAAGCTGAAGGCAGACACTTAACCAACTGAGCAACCCAGGCGCCCTGAGAGATGATTTGTTTTTATTTTTTATTTTTTTTAAAGATTTTATTTATTTACTTGACAGAGAGATAGAGAGCACAAGTAGGCAGCGTGGCAGGCAGAGGGAGAGGGAGAAGCAGGCTCCCCACTGAGCAGGGAGCCCGACGTGGGGCTCGATCCCAAGACCCCAGGATCATGACCCGAGCCGAAGGCAGCTGCTTAACCGACTGAACCACCCAGGTGCCCCAGTGATTTGTTTTTAAATAAGACCACTGGCTGCCATGCGGAGGACTAAGAATGGGGGGCAGGGAAGCTGGGGAAATGCTTAATGTCGTCATCCAAGCAAGAGATGGTAGTGGCTTCAGCTGGCATAATCTCCGTGGAAATGGAGAGAAGTAGACAGATCTGAGAGAGCAAGAAGGGTAGAACTGGCAAGACTTGAGGACGGATTGGATAAGGGGGTTTAGGGAGAGGGAGGAGTTAGGGATGAGGTCCAGCCTTCCAGCTTGGGTGACTGGGTGGGAAGGGGGCGGTGTCACTCACAGAGATAGGGAAATGAAAAAAGAAGGGCGGGTGCGGGAGAAGACCACAAGCTCAGCTTTGGAGCTGATGTTTTGAGTTCCAAGCGTCTGCTAGATGTCCAAGTAGAAATGGGAAGTGCCCCATTGAACATATGGGTCTAGAGCTCAGACCTCTTTCTTCTCCCTTACCAAATAATCCAGCCCACTGGCCTTAATTCTATTCCTGAAGAGGCCAAGTTTCCTCCAGCCTCAGGTCCATGGTGTTGCTGTTCCCTCTGCCTGGAACACTTCCCCTGAGATGCTCTATACCTAGCTCCTTCTTAACAGCCCCATCTCATGTCCATTGTCACCTAATCAGAGAATCCTGCCTCAGAGCCAAGCTAAAGTCAGAGTAAAGAGTGAGCTAGGGATCCACATCAGCCAGGTTTTGCTGCAACAGTGCTCCATAAAAAACAACTTCCAGAAACTCAGTGCTTTCTGAGAAACATTCACTTCCCACCCAGGGGTCTGCGGGTCAGCTGGGGTTCATCGGGGCTCTCCCGGCTGAGCCGGGCTGGGCTCCAGGCTCCTTCACGTGTCTTCTCACTCTGGGTCCGGGCTGGAGAAGCCCCCACTGCCTGGGGCTCATGTTTCTCATGGCCAACAACAGTTGCTCAAGATGGGTGAATGGAAATACTCAGTGTCTTGGGACTGGCCTCTTCCACACATACTCCTTTAGCCAAAATAAGTCAAATGGCTAAGTCCAATATCAACAGAGTGCGGAAGTATATTCTTTCCACACTGAGGAGGGCTGGAGGAAGTAAATATTTGCTGAACAATAACACAATCTACACAGGACCCAACTCTTTTTCCCCCTAGATGGCCATGTTTACTGGGTAATCCCCTCACACTCCTAATCCCCTCACACTCTTAGAAAATAAGAGTGTGTATACATGAATGAACGATTGAATGAATGAATGAATGAAGAAATGTACCTTTCAAGGCAGGAAGATTCTCCTTACTCACTGAGGAACCTGAGGCTCAGAGAAGGGAAATGATTTGCCCAAGGTCACAGAAACCACCTGTGGTAAGCCCAGCCTGGCTGGCTCCTTAGGCTCAGTTCCCCATACAGAGGGAGTGTGCTATTCTTGGGGTGGGGTGGGGGGGCGGTCCTATTACCCATTCTGCCCTCTCACTGAGTCTTGCTTGACAGGCACATAATCAGGGGGCAAATACACCAGAAGGTCTTGCTGATTCAATTTCAGTTCTCTCTCTGAAGCCAGGGAGGACCTTGATTCATCATTTCCGGGTCCCAAAGCCCTGAATGTTAAATGCGTGCTGAGAGAATGAGTCATCGGTACAATGGTGGCTTTAATTGCTGATTAAGTGTTCCGTGAAATTCTGTGTCCCGCCCCAACTGTGCCCGCCCCTAAGGTAGAGACAGTCATCTCCATTCTGTGGGGGCCCTGCAGTGTCTAACATGGAGTGGGCCCCACAGTGGAGCTCAAAAACTAGGTACAGGCAAAGGAAAAGTCTGGAAGGACATGAGTCAGATAAACAGTAGGCACCTCTTTTGAAGCGGGATTCCTTAGGACTTTCAACTCTTCTGCCTTATATCTTTATGTAACGTTTGAACAGGTCACAGTGAAAATAAGTTTCTTCTGCAATCAAGAGAGAAAAGAAAAAGAATCTGGAAATATTTTAAGTTCACACTAGCGTGCAAAAAGCCATCACTTGCTGGTTGGTTGGGAAACTCCTAAAAACCATCTTCCTTCAGAATCCTAATCCCACACGTTGTCAGAAGCCTGTTCTCAGAAACGCTGAGTCAATTCCCAATCACTCCTCCTGTCGGCACGCCACTGGGTGCCTACCACACGTGGAGGACTGAGTGAGCCCCCAGGGTGACTGGTGACAGGCTGGGGAACAGGTGACAGCGGAGTCAGGAGCTCTGCGGCCATGCCTACCATAGATGCCATGGAGTTGGCCCAGGGGCCAGGCACTGTGCTAAGTGTTCCTCATGGATTAGCACGTTTAATCCGCGCAACAAGTCAATGTGGTAGGAGCTATTATTAACCTGTTTTACAGCTGTGGAAAGTAAAGTGCAAAGAGGCGAAGGAACTCGCCCAAGGTCATATAACAAGCAGATGGTGGAACTGACATTTGATTCCAGAGCTTGTGCTAAGAACCACTACCCCACGTGGCCTCTCACTAGGAACCTGCCCAAATTCCACAGGCAGCAAGTGGCAGAGTCAGAATCCAAACCAATCAGGGTTCAGTCAGCCCCCTAAAGATATGCTCTCTTTTTTTATTTTTTAGAGTTTATTTATTTATTTATGTAATCTCGACAGCCAATGTGGGGTTCGAACTCATGACCCCGAGATCAAGAAACCATCCTCCCCTGACTGAGCCAGCAAGGTGCCCCAAAAGATACACTCTTAATTGCTAGGATGGCCTTTCTTCCTTCCACCTTTCCCCGTTTCTGGATCCAATGCCAATGCACTGGGTGACTTGGGTCACCTCCCTGAGCCTCAGTTTCCATGGCTGGAAACGGGAAGAACATTGCTTACCCCAGGGAGCTGGAGAGGCTTGTGTGAGAGGACAGTTCCTCCTGTGGAATGTGGTAGGCACTCAGTTAAGACAAATCTGTTCTTCCTGCTTTCTAGGAGTTCGGTGAAGTTGGCCAAGCAGACACGGGAACAAGCCCATCCCATGAGCTCCATGACCAACGGGTGCATTAGGTGCTGTGCGGCCAGAGACTGGACACTGGATGAAAAGTCAAGGGTTACTGTGTGTCCAGAAAACTCCGCTGAGGAAAAACTGGAATAAACAAGCCCCAGAAGGAGAAGGAGGGGGGTTTAGTTCGTCATCCTTCCTGTTTTCCCAGCCTGGCCCAGTCCCAAAGCCTCTTCTTAATCTTGTCAGGATTTTGGCCCTTTGCCCCAGGAAGGAGCTGCCAGGAGGCCCACAGTGAGCCAAGTCTTCAAGGAAGTGATGTCTTCTGTGGGTCAAGAGAAAGAAAGAGGCTTTCTGGGACCAAGAAGGCAGGGACAGAACCAAGGGAGGGTCCAGCCGACAGGCCTCTCCTTGAACCTGTGAAGAGACTGAGGCTTAGCACAGAGCAGGGTTGATTGGTTTGGGGGGCAGGGTGGGGGCCGGGAGCCAGCTCAGAGTCTTCACTTCACACTACTTACTGCTCACTCCCTTCCAACTGTAGGGCCACCCAGGGAGCGCAAGTCACCTTCACCTCTCTGCCCCCAGCTTTTTCCAGCAATATCTCTCCATTGCTGCATGGGAAACTTCAAAAACACAGGTGCAGGCCTATGGGGACTGGAGGACAAAATGGGAGCTGCAAAGATCTTGGTGGGCTTGATCCTGCAGGAAATGGGGATGATAGATGCTCTGAAACAAAGAATCAGCACTCTCTGAGCACTTCCTGTGAGCCAGGAATGTGCAGTGCCCGGCACATTCAACACATACATCCTCTCTGGGAAGTGGGTCACATCCCCACTTTGCAGATGAGGAACCTGAGTCTCACAGAGGAGATGTTTCCTGTCAACCCTCCTTCAGCATGGAACTCTCTTCTGAGCTCAGACCTGGATATCCACTCTGCCTTGGGCATCCCCATCTGTATACCCCCACACGCTTCCCAAAATCAACTGGAACAATCCTAAACTCACCATCCTCCCTTCCCACAGACTTCTGTGTTCCCATCCAGGCCTCACTACTCAGAAACTAGGATATCAACCTTGACTACACCCCCTCCCCTGGTCCCATCAGACGGCAACCTGGACCAGTGGTCCCAACTCTGACCCTATCTCCCAGACACTGGGTTTCCGTAATTCCAGGGTTTGCAGCTGGAATTACTCATCTCCCTCCTAGATAACTCCAATAGCTTCAGAATCAGCCATTCTGCCTCCAGTCTGTCCCTACACCCATTTATGTCCCACCCTAACACCAGGGGGATGTTTCTAAAATGCAAATCTGCCCAGTCTCACCCAACCAAAAACCCTTCAGTGGCTTCTCAATGTCCTCAAGAGAAACCCCTTACTACAGCTTCCCAGGTCCCCCAAATCTTGGGTCACTCCCTACCCTCTGCCCCCATGCCTCAGACGTCCTGGAATATCCACAGTTCCTCTTTCACTTCAAGGTCTTGGCACATGCTATTTTTGCTGCCTTCCCCGGGCTAACTCCTTCTCATCTTTCAGGTCTCGGCTTAGTCACCACTTCCTGACCACCCCCCTAAGTTTCATGAGCTGCCCCTTCAGTGAATTCCCACAGTTCCCCTGTACTTCCTCCATGACGCTACCAGCCCCTCCCCCACATGTGCTCCTGTGTAGGCCCAGTAAGGCTTCATGACCTGCAGAGAAGGCTGGGGCAGCACTCCCCAGCGGAAATATAATGCATGCTGCATGGATAATGATACATTTTCCAATAGTCACATTTTCAAAAAGAAACAGATGAAATTAATTTTAATAATACATTTCAACCTGATATTTCAAAAACAGTCTTATTCCCCCATATAATCAATATGAAGTTATTGATACTTTATTTTCTTTTTGTACTAGGACTTTGAAATCTGGTGTATATTTTACACTCCCAGCACATCTCAGTTTGGACTAGCCACATTTCAAGTACTCGATATCCCCATGTGCTGGTGGCTGCAGGGTTGGATAGTGCAGTTTTGGAGGATGTTTAAAGCTACCTGGCCTGTGTCCTATTCTGGAGGACACGAATCCTCAGAAATATTCATAGGCATTCTATAGAAAAAGGATTCTAAGTCAAATAAGTCTTGAAGACACTGACAAAGTGAAACAAGGTTTCTATGCTTCAGGACCTCCCAGAGTCTTATCTGAGCTAAAGTAAGACATGATACTAGAAACAAACCAGAGAATATGTAGCATTTACCCACCTCATTTGAGCTCAGAGCTCTATTTTCATAAAGTATTTCTGGGGATTAGCATCCACTAGAATGTTCTTTGGTAAATGCTAATTTAGCTACATCCCTGACTCAGTAAATTCCAGGATCCCCACAGAAAGAACTTGGGGTGTTGGGAGCCCACCTCCTGTGCCTCTGAGCCTGGCACAGAGAAAGCACCCAAAACCTGATTACTGAATTGACTAATTCTGAGAGGCTACAGAAGGCAGGGCTAGAATCCATGAGCAAAAACTGCAGCATATTTAAGCTCAAACAAGAAAGTTTTCCAGGTGGTGTGTGTGTGTGTGTGTGTGTGTGTGTGTGTGTGTGTGTTTAAACAGTTTGAAACTAACTTGTCTGATCTGCCCGAAAAATGCAATAGGTAGTCTTATGAGTTCATGATTTCTCCACCACTAGGAGTGATCAAGGATGAAGTTCTGGAGGACAGAGTGTTTTCTAGAGTCTCTAATCGCCCTCCTTCAGAACTAAACAGAAAAAAAAAGAAAAAGAGCATCAATGGGCATGAGAACTTGAACTGTAGAGGAAGTGATACAGATGTAGACATGTGCTGAGCCCTTTGTTAAGAAAACACTTTGAGAGGCACCTGGGTGGCTCAGTCGGTTAAGCGTCCGCCTTCAGCTCAGATCATGATCTCAGTGTCCTGGGATGGAGCCCCACGTTGGGCTCCCTGCTCAGTAGGAAGTCTGCTTCTCCCTTTCCCTCTGCCCCTCCCCCCGGCTCATGCTCTGTCTCTCTCTCAAGTAAATAAATAAAAATCTTTAAAAAAAAATAATACTTTGAGATTCTGGAGCCCCAGTAGAGGGTCAGTTTATGGCTAAAGCCCCTTAGAGGCTACAGGCCCTTGGTTCAATTCAGAATATTCTCTTTTTTTTAATTAAGATTCTATTTATTTACTTATTTAGGTGGGAGGGGCAGAGGGAGAGGGAGAATGCCAAGCAGACTCCCCACCGAGGGTGGAGTCCAATGCAGGGCTCCATCTCACAACCCTGAGATCATGACCTAAGCTGGAATCAACAGTCGGATGTTTAACCAACTGAGCCACCTAGGTGCCCCTCAATTCAGAAGATTCTTGATCCATTTTGTATACAGTCAACATCTGTTCAATCACTAACTGAATCCATCAGTCCTCAATCAATCAAAATGTGTGCCCGGAGGGTGGACAAGAGGATGGTCCATTTCTTTTAAAAGTGCTTTTGTGTGGGGCACCTGGGTGGCTCAGTCAGTTAAGCATCCGACTCTTGATTCTGGCTCAGGTCATGATCTCAGGGTCGTGAGATTGAGCCCCATGTCTGGCTCAGTGCAGAGTCTGTTTGAGATTCTCTCCTTCTCCCTCTGCCCACCCACCCCCAACTCGTGCACACTCTCACTCTCAAATAAATAAATAAAATCTAAAAAAAAAAAAAATACAATTCCTTCTGTGGACAAAACCAGGCAAGACCAATGTGTACTGTAGAAGTCATCAGGATAGTGGTTACCTTGGGGTAATGGCAAGAAGGAAGCACTAGGGGGGGTGTGGGGTGCTGGCAAATTCGGTTTCTTGATTAGGTGCAGGTTACACAGAGGTTCAGTCGGTGAAAATTCAACAAGCTGCATAGTTTTGATAGGTGCACTTTTCTGTATGTATATTGCCCTTTGATAAACAGTTTTAGAAATTGCTTTTGTGACGATATACTACTTTATCACACTAAGAACAAAAGTGTGACTATGATTAACACAACTAAAATTATCCGGCTGGTCTGAGATTTGAGCTGAGGAGGAAGATGTTAATCAACAGCCAGGTGTTTCTCGGGTAGGGTCTGAGTGGCATTTTTGCTGGCTCACCTGGCAGCTGGATGCTAGCCATGCTGGAGAGAGACCCTTAACCATCCATAGGCAGGCAGCAGATGGATTCAGACCAATCATCTTAGAGCCTCCAGGTGTCCATCAGTAAGATACCTGGAAGCACCTGGAAGCTAGGGCCATTATAAGTTCTGTGTCCCCATGCCAAGCACAGGCCTGGTACGAAGTAGGTGATCAACTCCATGTCCTCTCCTTTCCTCTTACCTGGATTTCAGGTGTGGCAGTCCCAGAAGTGCTAAGGCCTTCTGCCATTGAGGGCCAGCAAGGATCACAGAGGCTGGCACAGCTGGGCTGAGAGCGGGAGGGGGAAATGAAACCTTTTTCATGGCTCACATGTGCTCAAGCAACTGCAAAGAAGCCACCTGTGGTCAGTTGAAGCTGTGGATGGGGGAGAGAGAGAGGGAGCTTCAGAGGACTGGGGGAGGTGATAAAAAAAGGCATATTTCAGGTGGTAAAGTTGGGGAGGTAAAAAAATAAAAATAAAACCTCACAGCAATTAACAATAACATGCAACGCACCGTGGGGTGGGGGCTGGGGGCAGGCTTCACATGGTAGAGACGGGGAGGGTCAAAGCAAACCGCCGTTTATAGTAAACAGACAACACACCATGAGGCAGAGGAAAGAAACCATGGACTTAGAGCTCTGTGGGGTTGGCAAACCACGCGACCAAGCAGTTCTCTCATCTGTAAAGACGGGACAATAATAGTTCTTTCCTCTTGGGGTTGTTGAGAGGGTGAAATTAGGTGATGCGTGAAAAATGGTCAAATCTTGTAGCTGCTGTTAATAACAATAACAGCATTGGTAATAATATGGTAGGGAGAAGTTTCTACTTCCGAAAGGAGACTAGATAGATTGATTCAGAAGCCAATGACAACCAGAAATCTAGAGCGGAGGGGAGAAGGAGTAGAGAGGCCATCTAGAGGAGGAGTTATTAATTTGGGTGCACTTAAACACCTATACAAAATGGCTGCATTTAGGAGTATATGTGTTTTTTGGAGGGAGAGGGCCCATAGCCCACATCAGCTTCTTAAAGGGGTCTATGACCTCTCCCCCACAGTTGTTTAAGAATTACTGATCTAGAGAAGGGCAAGCAGGTGGGAGAAGAGGCCCACAATTCTCCATGGATGGACAACCCATCTCCATGAAGTTAAGACATGGGTTTGGGGGATGGAGGAGAGTCTAGAAAGAAGAG